ATAAGTTTCATCATCCGGTGTATCCGTTATAACTAATAATATTGATTTCAAATTTTTACAAACTTTTAGTAATTTTTCAAATTCTGCAAAATGTTTCTTTGATGGTGAAAACATAATTGATAAATATTCAATTGAAGGACAATTTTCATAGATCTTACGAATAAAGTTGAGAGAATCTTTATAAAAGGATGCATCTTCAATTTCGATAGTATCATAAGGTTTGAATAAAACTTTTTTGAGACGTCCTCCACTATTTGCAATTATACTAGAAAGTACATTTAACCCATTCCATTCTATATTAAGGATCTCAAGATCATGATAAACCAAATTATTCAATTGTTCCTCAGTAAAAAAATAATAATCATCCTCAATCATTAACGTTTTTAGTTTCTGAAATTTTGGAAGTATCTTTTGCAATGATTTACGTTCGAGACCATCTACAAATTGGAAGAATATTCTTAAATGATCGATATTATTTGCCTTTTTTTCTAATGCAAGAAGAATTTTTTCATAAGGATCTTCTACAAGAAAATCTTCATCAAAATCATCTTTCCATTCAAAATATTTCAAATTCTTCTGAACATCAATTAATTTAACAATTCCATCATTAGGTTTTGGGCATATATGAATGATGATGAGTCTTTGTATATATTGACAAAATCGTGATAATCCATAAAAATATGAAGAATCAATAGATGTGTCACATTTTAATTCACAAAGTGATTCAAGACGAACTTTAGCTTCTGGAAAACTAAATATTTGATGATTAATTGATCTCATATCTAAATACCTCAATTCCATACATTTTCTCATAAAGTAAAGATAAAATTCTTGTTGTATAAAAAATTGATTATGAGCCAAAGATGATCCAATAGTAATTAAATTATTTATAGTTTTCACATTAATACTTCTACAAAAGGATAAATAATCAAACGAGAGAGATTTTCTTGAAGGGAATTGAATTCCTTGTTCTGTTATGAATTCTTTGATATCATCAAATAAGTAACAAGCAATAACGACGAATAAATTTTTTTTATTGCTATAATTAATACTACTGTAGGACCATGGGTTCCTCCATAAAACAGGAATCACAGTTTCACACCAAAGTCTATTAACCAATAGACATGAAAATAATGATTTTGAATCGTCTTGTAATTCTTCAAATATTAGAAAAAGAATATCTTTATTAAGTTTGGACATTATTTACTCCAAAAAAACTGCTAGCTAATTTTTACGACTGAATACTTCAAAAAATTCAAAATACAACATATAATATTTGCGAAAAAAAAGAAAAACAAAAAAAAAAATTCCATTTATATACCCTCCGGTAAATTTGCCAAATTTGATTAATCTGTGCGACCATATGATCAAATGTCAAGCAAATTATGCAGTACTGTTTATTTATTTGTGCCTACTAATTTATTTTAGTCGAATTTTATTATTTTTAACAATGCCAGCCGTTATTGAAATAATGCCGGCTGAAGAGCTGCGGCTAAAATTATATTAATTTTGCGTTTGTGTATTTATTATTATTTGTACTACATACATAATAAAGTGGTAATTTTTAATTTTAATAGTTTGTAATCATAAAAGAATGTTATGTTCCGTTCCTTCTTATGTAAGTTGTATTATCAGCAAGCGAGAAATGGTTAATTGGAAAATTAAAAATATTTCTTATACAAATTGCTTTTTTTAAAAAAACTTCTGATCAGAGTTATTAATGATTGACGCCAAACGTTCAGTTTGATTTGATAAAGCGGTAAGACAAGATTAAATGGTTCCACATTTCATACTATCATAATAAGATGCGCGGTTTCTTGTTAAATAATCGTCGGTACTGAGAAACACTTTTCTCAGAAACCTATTAAACAAAAATAATCTAATGTTTAAAATATTATTTAATTAAAATTCTATCTTTAAAATAGTAATTTTTATGTCAAGATTTTTTCATAAAATTAACGTAATATACATTCATTAACTGTTAATCGTTATAATTATCATTTTTTTTTGGACAATAATCAGGCAATACTGATTTATAACAGTTATATAGAAAAATTTTAAATTTTAAAAGACTGTTCAAACTGACCACTAATTACAAAGTAACTAATTAATCATGATTACTATATTTTTATTAATATCATTATAGAAAATGTGTAATGAAAATATTCATTTGCCAAAGTGAGATGGAATCGAGAAGAAATAATTCGTTAGAATTTTGATTTATTTTGTATTTACTGGTTTATTCATTTTATTGTACTATTTAAACATCGTATATCTAATTATTCAATAAACATTCTTTTTTTGCCAAATCTTGAATATAATGATAAATGTAAAATCAATAATATAAAACTATAAAATTGAAAATTACTCATGTGATTACTCATAGCCATATGAATAATCGATCAGAAGTTCGTCAAAAGTACCTAAAAATAAATCATTAAATAATTGGATCATTTTGATAAATAGATACTTCATTAAATAATGTACAATTCTCTCTAATCAATAACGAAAACATGGACTATAAAATATAGTAAACTTTTACAAAATATCAACTAATAATAATAAAAACAAATAAATATTAAGATAAAAGTTCCCAAAGTTCCCAAATAAAACTAAAAAAAAATGTAACAAAGGCTAAAATCGTAATACAGTAAATAATTATCATGAGATGGGATGATAATTTTTTTTAATTAACTAATTTTATTTTAAACTATAATATTAGTTTGCTAATCTACCATTTTAGGTTTGATCTTGTGACTTTATTGGTAAATAACATTTGACAATCATTCGTTTACAATATTATTTTCTTTTCTTTGAATATTATTAACCAAGCCACTTCTTTTTCTACCATTTTATGTTTATTCTTGTGGCTTTGAAATGAAAGAAACTGACTGAAATAGGACAATACTAATAGATCACATTGGCAATTTAGTAAATATCTTGGTAAATGATAAAATTTTTGTACTAATTATTTATTACAAATCACTAATAAAATGTTTATTCACTAACTAAAAACAATTCATCTTGGGAATAAAATGATTTTTAATCGATTGAAAGTATGATAGTTCAAATAAACTAATGTCACCAAATTCATTACTGACTAATAGCAACTTTTTCCGATTTTAATAATTAGTTTTTTAACCAGATTTTGGCAAATTTTATTATAAAAAATCTAACCAGTAGCAACTTTTATAATTTTTAATATTCATTTTATATTTGCGAATGTTTTTATCAATTTTATAAATAAAAATAAATAAATTTGCTATTATTTATTTCATAGTTTTTGGAATTACTACAATTTTTTTTTAAAAATCAATAAAATAATCATGAACAAAGACCTAATCACTTATGTTTTCGACAATAATCTATCTGGTGGCGACGAAGTCGCCACACATCAACCTAATCTAGTTATCCTTATAAACTTAATGAATATTCCAACAATACCCACAATAAACATAAATTAATTGCAAGCTCATTATTTAATAATAATAATATTGTTATATTGACAACATTTGGTATTCTTATTTATACTTTTAGTGAAAATAACAAATCTATTTCTTTAAACTATTTTTATTTTATGGAATTAGATAAGTTATACGATTATAAAAGAGGAAAAAATTTTATAGGATATTTGAAAATACTTTATTACAAAGAATTATTTTCAAAATCTACTTTGCCATTACCAAATTATGATAGTTTTAAATTAAATGGATGGGTTTCAGATGCAAAAAATAATAAGTTAGGTCTTTTGAAATATGGAGTTGAATTATTAAAATTTGCAATTAAAGAACATAAATTAGAATTAATTGATGATATTTATAAAAATGTATGACTTATTTTAAAGAGGATTTAATGAACAATAGGTCATTTTTGAGCATTAATGCCATTACTAGATAAATATTATCCAGAATATACTCTAAATTATTCATCAGAAACAAATATGATCATAGATTCTTCTTTTTATAGTATAGAGCGTCAATATATAAATTTACATCTTTATTCTTTTTTTCAATCTCCTCAAATAGCTAATTTATCGAAATCTCTTTTATGGACAAAGTACAATTATAAACTTTATTGCATATTGAAAGAAGGTTATAATCCATTATTATTGATATTAATACCATCTATTATTATTATTATTATTCTAACTTTTCCTTTAATTATACCACTTCGCTCGACTATATTTCCTATTTTATCAAATTACAATTTTATTAATAATATTTACACTCCAGATTTACTATATCAATATTTTATTTATTTTGGATTTTTCAAAACTTTTTTCAATCCTGAATCTACAATTTTTAATTTTTTTAATTCTTTTTCAAAAAAAGATATAACAACAACACCAACAATTACTTTCATGATTCCTTATATTAATTTTGTTAATTATTCAAAAGATTATAATTGGTTTATAGAATTAATTAGACCTCAACCTAGTCTATTTACTGAAACAATAAATAGAAACATTTATAAAACATGGAATGGAGAAGCATTAATTAATTTTAAATGGAATACTTATGGAAAATATTATTATGCAATGATTTGGATTTTATTTATGACATTACTTGGATGCTTTACTGCTGCTGCAACAATTCCTAATCAATATATCAATGAAGAAGTTAGACAACGACTTTTTATTGCTTCAATTATACTTGGATCTATTCATCTGATTTTTGAAATTCGTCAATTTTTTTATAATATTACTAATAAGTGGTTCTATAATTTTTGGAATATTTTTGGTGAATATAAATGTTTAATTTAATTATTTTACAATATTTAAGAAAATAAAATTAATTATATAATATTTTAATGTTTCAGATATAATTGCTTATGTGCTTTCAATTTTCACTTCTATTTATTGGCTTCAAACAAAGGATAAGGATAATAATTATCTAATTCAATTGCTTTCTTTTTCATGCTTATTTTTGGATATAAAATTTTTATTTTTTAGAGCTTTTGAATATTTTGGTATATATTATGCAATTATTATTAGTGTTGGAAAAAAGATTTTTTCTTTTTTATTAGTCTTATTTATTATTATAATAAGTTTTGCACATGCATTTTATATTTTATTATCACTAAGATCTGAATTTTCACTTGATCAACATAATACAAATAATGATGATCCAAATAATCCTTTGAATTTAGCTCCTAGTTATAGTCAAATTAATAATGATGGAATTCCTGATAAAAATACAAACATGTTTATAGATATTAAAACTTCTCTTTTTGCGATATATTTGTTTTTAATAGGTATATTTAAATTCTTCATAATTATATAAATATACTTCATAACATTTTCTGATATTTTTAGCAATTCTTTATCAATAGGTGATTCAAGCGCATTATCCAATTGGCCATATGCAGACAATCCATCAATTGCAATATTGATTATTTTATTTTGCCTCTTAATAATTGTTGTATACCTTATGAACTTGTTAATTGGATTACTCAATATAGCAATTGAAGTAGATAATAAAAGAGTCTCATATTTGATACAGAAGGCAGAGGTAAATAATATTAACATTAATCAATCCATTTCTGTAAATATACTAATATATTTCGATTTTACTTTTTAAAGATTTTAGCTGAGATTGAGTTATTTTACCTGTTACCACATCAGAGACGTTGGAAAACATGGTTTCCTAAAGTTATGTATGTAATTTTACTTTTTAAAAAAGTTTAATTTTATGATTTTGTCAAATTTAATTTTTCAAGGTATTATTATGCTGATGTTGATAAGACTCGAATAGAAATTAAAAGATTGATTAAAGAGGGTGAATGGGATACTAAGGAATTCACAGAGATGCGGGAAAATTTATTCAAAGTACTTTCAATTGAACATAATCCTATTGACAATGAGGTAATATTGGAGAAATTATCAGAATTAAGAAAAATTAGAAAAATCTTATCATGAGAAATTAGAGAAATTTGATAAGTTAGAGAAATTATTGGAGGAAATAAATGCAAAATTATTTTAATATTATGTTAATTTTATAACTAGGGATTATTTGGTGACTATATTTTTAACAAAAAGTTTTTTTTTTAATAAATATCTCATTGTGTTAAAACCACCTCATTATTCATGATTTTTTAATAATGTATATTTACTACTGTAAATTGTTTATTTTGTTTTCATTTTTTATACAAATTGATAAGGAATCCTGATATCATTACATCATTACAGATTATTTTTTTAAGTTAATATTTTGATTGACTTTATTAAACAAATTTGCATCCATTTTTAATCTTTTAATTAAATAAAAAATAAATTTATTTGAACAATAAACATTTTTTATTCTTTATTAAACTAAATAAAATATCTATTACAAATGATACTTTTTTTTTATCATCACAAATAAAATTTGTTTAAAGTTTTTATGAATCAATAAATAAATAAGGTCATTATAAAAATTTATATTTAAATTTTAATTATACAATCCAAACACTCAGAATTATTTTGATATAAAATTTCAGTAAGCAAGCGGCTTGTATAATATGCTTGTGGATGAGTTTGTAAACCAGAAATATTAGCTTGTTCTTGTGTCAAAACTCTATTTGCATTAATAAATTCATACATATCATTTTTTAATTGATTATCAATATTAGGAACTTCATATCTTTGTTCATCTTCACCATTAAATATATAATATTCATTAATACTTCTAAGCCATTCAGATATAGTATTTTCAATAATTACTATATTTGGTCTTTTGGAAGGATCTGAATCCCAGCACTTTTCCATCAAATCTATATAACATTTTGGAGTATTTTTTATAATTTCAGGGCGATCTCCTTCACAAATACTTAAAATAAGTTGAATATCATGTGCTCTATTGTTAAATGGAGGAATACCTGATGTAAATTCCCACATAATCATTGAAAAACTATAGATATCACTTGCTGGAATATAAGTGTTGTTTCTTAATATTTCAGGTGCCATATAAGGTATAATTCCATAAACTTTATCAATTTTATCATCAGAATTTTGTATGGGTTTGCATAATCCTAAATCAATAATATATATTTCATTATAATCATCTGATATTAAGATATTACCATCATGAAAATCACAATGAGTAAGTTCTGATTCATGTATTACTTTAAGTCCTAAAATAATTTTTTTCAATAATTGCAATTTAATTTGCCATTTAAATTTAACTATATTAGATAAACATTTTTTTAAACTTCCTTTTTTTGCATAACTCATTATTATCATATAATTTAAATTATTTGGATCTTGGGAAATTCCAAAGAATTGAATAAATTTTGAAAATGATTTTTTCTGACAATTATAATGATGTTTCCACTATATATAATAAATATTTAAAATTATTAATTTATAAGATAAAATAAAATATACAATTATAAGTATCTAATAAATAAAAATACTATACCTCATCTAAAAATTTATCACTTAAACTTGATGAAATATTAAGATTTTTAAGAATAACATCATATTCAGTCCATCTATTCCATTGTTGTTCATCAAAGTTCCAACTATCAATAGGTCCATCTAACCAGTTAGCTCTATAAATTTTACTAAATCCTCCTTTATCATAATAATTAATATTATTCAATTTATTATAAGGTATCCATTCTAAAATTTCATAATTACTTTTAGCATTTAGTTGTGCTTCTTGAATAAATTTATCAATAAATTTATTTTTACTAGTCCATTTTGAAAATTCTTGCTGAAATTGTTTAATATTACATTGTTGGCACCATTTGTAATCAATATATGGTTGATTGCATTCCTTACATAAGTTGTTAATTTTAAAATTATCAGAAGTCATTTTGTGCCAATAAAATGCTTTTTCCAAATTCTTTTCTATTCCTTCACCATATTCATAACATAAGGCAAGACTGTGCATTGACTTTTCATTGCCATTCTCTGCCGCTTTCTGATACCAGTAAAAGGCCATTTCCAAATCCTTCTCTGTTCCTTCACCATTGTAGTATCGTAAGGCAAGACTGTGCATTGACTTTTCATCACCCTTCTCTGCTGCTTTCTGAAACCAGTGAAAGGCCATTCCCAAGTTTTTCTCTGTCCCTTCACCATTGTAGTATTGTAAGGCAAGACCATACATTGAACTTTCATCACCTTTCTCTGCCGCTTTCTGATACCAGTGAAAAGCCATTCCCAAGTCCTTCTCTGTCCCTTCACCATTGTAGTATTGTAAGGCAAGATTGAGCATTGACCCTTCATCACCCTTCTCTGCTGCTTTCTGATACCAGTGAAAGGCCATTCCCAAGTCCTTTTCTGTCCCTTCACCATTGTAGTA